AGCACATCTCCTTTTCTAATCCTCTCCACAACAGACCATTTCAGCAGAAACAGAAAGTGCCACATACTAATAAAAATACCATGAAATGTTAAAGATTTTGCTAAATTTCTTGTCCTAGAGCCCCAGGCATTTTTAGAGCTGACAGTCAACCGAACATAGGTATAACAGCACTCAATAGCTAAATTATTAAAGGGGCTATTTTTAGATTTCAGAAACCCTTGTTATTAGTGACTTGTTAGCTATTAAATTAACTGCAGCTAGCAACTTATTGCTCATGCTCGCTCACGTAAAATACAAGAGGCTGAACTTGATTTAATATTAATTCCCTGATATACTCACGGCGCAGGTCTTGTTTATTCTTAGCTAGCCTAGAAGTAAAAATAAGCTGGAAATACCTTTGCAGTGAAATACTGTTAATGAAGATCTAGTTTAAATTAATTGTTTTTCTTTGCTTGACATATTGACATTACAGTACAGAAGGGCTCTTTTGGCATTATCCTGGAAATTATATAAGTATGTGTCATAGAATTAAAGAGAAGTCCTTCATATAAAGATCAGTCTTTCATAAACAATAGGAAAGCGGGGAAGGTCTCGTTTTTTATTGTTACAAGCTTTTTATACATTGGCAATACGAAAGTAAATAATACATAACAATTCCTTCATATAGTCGCTTTAAATGTGGATTTTTTTTTTTTGTTGTTCCACACTGTGATCAATTACACAATACAGTAAAGCCATTAATGGCTCAGATATACAGGGATGGTTATTTTGATCACAAGCAGATGGAATACTCTCAAAGAGCTAGCTTCTCAGTTTAGAAATGTAATGCTTTTAAAGGCAACTAAGCATTTCCTGTTCAAGGTCCAAAGGCATTACTAAAGAGTTTTTAAATTTGTTTAATTGGAACCAGAGCTCATGAGATTATGTGCATTCAAAAAATGCTTTGAGGGAAAATGAATACAGAACAATCATTGTGCTTTTACAGTGAGTAGTCCTAAATGACCATCAAGCGACTCAATGGGCCCTATTTTAACGATCTGAAACGCAACTATCAAGTGCAAAGCGCAAGTAACTTTGTGGGCGGGTCTTGGACCCTGTTGCAATTTTACTGGGATAAAAGGGGTTGGTCTGAAATAGCTTCATTATTCATAGGTGTGGTTTGGGCATAACGGGAAATAAACAAATCAGAGCATCATCCAACATACCCTTCATGAGCAATTGTAACAGGCGCACGCAAGGAGAGGTTCACAGGAGGAGACTGAAGTTCATGTCAGGGCAGTGAACGACAGAAGTGACATTGTTTGGGGATGGGAGAAACCCACCCAAATCAGCGTTGGTTAAATATTATATACATATGTGTCTTGCCACTATTGGGCAAACAGGTCTGATCCGTCATTACTACAATTAGCCTGAAAAAATTGGGTACATGTGTTCCTTTACCAAAAAAGATATAAGAAATAATGCATTCTGTCTGTGTTCCTTCAGATTCAGTCATACTTCTGTTCTTCAGTACAGAGAACCATGTAGAACTGTTGTTCTTAAAATATCAAGCAGCACAGTGATACATCCACCATCATACTGTATAAAAAAATGCCTGCATGGATAAATTTAGCTCTTCTGCTAAAGAAGCTCCCCTGTGTGCTGGCGGAGGGCTTATTATTGGATTTTTTTATTATTTATTTATTTATTTTTTGCCCAGAGGGTAATAAGGCAGGGAAGGTAACAGTCCACAGGAATAAAAAATGAAACCAGCAGACCCACCATGCCTCATCTACCAATGACTTCTTATCTGTATCTCACAATTTCACACTCCCCTCCAGATCACCTCCAGATTTCCTATGATTTCTCCACACTAAAAAATGACAAGACATGCTTGAGTGGCTTTAGAAGTAGAGGGATGAATTCTTCCTCTAGCTTGTCAGAAGTCAAGCTGCGAATGCTGTCCTCGAGAGATGCCATATTTCCCTCTGGGCTTAATAAAGTTAGTCTTGCAGGTAAAGGCATTCAAGTGGCCTATTCTGTATGAGACTTTTTGCCAAAAAAAGACTACAAAATTTTTTAACTGCACTAAGTATCCGTTATTTCATACCTACCTGGTTTTAAATTGACTTTGAATTTAATGAACATTATGTTGGCTTGAAAAAGTATATTAATGTTCTGTTATGTGAAAAATCAATTATGTGATTTCTGTTAGTGATCTTAATTGGTTCTAGCGACCTTCAAGGAGATGCTTGGGGTGTTCATGAAAAATGTAAGGGGACAATTTTTGGGGCTGTCAAGTGTGATAACATAAGATAAGATGTCAATGAAATACATTTTTTAGTTATTATGTTTTAACACATTTTCCAAATTTGATATTAATAATCACTTTGTTTGCCAAAGACATGAGATTAATTGTGATTATTATATTGACAGTACATATAGTTACAACTTAATCATGTATAACTTATATATACTTATAAATACTGATACTTCGTGACAATGCAGAATGCCTGTTTTATGACTGTGCTGAGCGAGAACAGATCCCCTTTAAAAGTAAAAACCAATATTTAAAACCAGATTCTGTATATGCTTTGCCCTCACCCTAAACAAAATACTATATACTATATGGTACTTACCAGTACCAGCTTGACTCGACTCACCTTCACTCGGTTCGCTTTTCGCTCCGTTTTCCATTGCAGACAGTCGCCACAAATACTACCCGGTCGTCATAGCGACACCGCAGGAAACTGCCGTGACGTAATCTTATAGGCGAGTACACAAATCTTGTACAAAGGAAAGTCTGCACCTCCTCGTTTGACCCGGCGTATTCCGAGTTGCTAAAATAATAATCCGTTTAGTAACTCTGGCCAAACTATTAAAAAATGGCGGGGTTTTTCTCGATACTCCATCTGGCACGTGCAATGATGACGTAGTGAATATTGAGGATTTTCTCTGACCAATCAGCAGTTGGCATTGTTTTCACGTCATATTTTATTATCGCCTTAGCTTGCTCTGAACATTGCTTGCAATCTCCCAAAGGTAACACATCATGCTTTACTTTATTCTTCTGTAATTGTTACTCTGATATCAGAAGGGTTGTATATTATCATGACAGGAAGACCCGAATATGTAGGCCTAATAATGATTGGGGAAACATGCATTTCAGGGTTAATACAGTTTTTCACTCAAATTTCAAATCAATTTGACAAATAATTACAAAGAAAAAGAATTGTCACAAACTGATTTAAATGTGAAATTTTAAATGAGAAAGACTGAAATAACATTTTCTTGTAAAACACACTAAGTTTTGTTTTATTTACAGCTTTTTTACAGTGTATATTATCAACAGCAACATGTTGACTTAAGAAACATGACCAAATGTTGTAAAAATGCATGAATGTTTGATGTACTAATTAGATTAAAATACTGTACAACATTGGCCGACTGCCCCTGGAAAGCTGCGAGGCAGACTTTGATTTCAGTCCAGTAAGTATTTAGAGAAGCCTAATGTCTTCTTGCAAAGATGGTGTTTTTCGGCGAGACATCACACTGTGTTGAAACACTCTGAAAGATATTCATATACTCTAGTATTCTGAGAAATACTGTAGCTTGTCCCAGAAAGAAAAAAAAAGAAAAGAAAAATCATTTAATATCAAACCGCAAGTCTCTTCCTGATATTATTTTCACAGGATTATATGAAGCGAAGAGAATTGTGTGGGTGGTAGCCCCAACTCTTCAGGAAGGCTTCATGCTAAGTATAGCTGTGTTGCACAAATAGTGCATGTTTTATTTTGAAATGTAAAATGTTTTCTTGTGCGGCTTGTGGTGTTTGGACATAACTCATATCAAATAAATTGACCATAAAATATTAGTAGTTAGACAGTTGGATAAGCGGCAGTTCTTTTTACAGTATTGTCAACATGGTCTCATGCCAATTGAAAGCTGTTTTTCGTTTGTTAATTTGTATATGAATGAACAATATGCATAAACTCCACTAAGGGTTAAGTTAAGAGGGGGACTTCCATGCTTCTTTTTTTTTTTTTTTCCCAAAATCATACATTGTCCTTTGAAAATTATGAATTCGCCAAAACGTGCCAAAATGTAAAACAGTTAAGTTTTCTCTTGAGACTGAGTTGGTATTGTGCATCTCTGGGCCAAAATGGAAAACAGTTAGGTAGAGCATTCAGAATCCCGTTTAACACTGCTGGAATCATGATGCAACATAATTGTAACATACAAAACCTTGATGAAATTTCCTCCCTCCTACAACAAGTACACATATCATGTAAACTAAGCACTGTCAAATTATTATGACAAATGCCTCATTACATGACTTCTCAACCATCTGGCTTGACACACATGAAGCAGCATCACAGTTAGTCTGATAAGGCATAGTTTCCTTTTTCACTTTTCAACCTTTAAAAATGCCATAGAATATTAATTAAATACATATATAATATATATTTTAAAAGCATGGTAATTCATAAAATTGTAAATATCACAGCTTAATACACGTGCACTTATTAAATCATATAAAGAGAAAAAGGTGAGATTGATCCATAAACGTCACTGTGTATCATCAATGTAGCAGATTTGAATTGTGTATTTGCGCTCTCCTTACAATACTTCCTTACCTCGGTATGATCAGAATGATCTTGATGTACAGAGTAACTCTCCAGTCCATCTTGAAGGATCTGATTATAGAAAATAGATTTAAAAGTCCCCAGGTCAACACTGTTGGCAAGGTAAAACATTTCCACAGAGATTAAGGTCTAAGTTGTCAAGGAAACAGCTAGTCCAGCAAGTGGAGGTTCTGTTGGAGTTGGGTCAGTGTGTCAGATCATTCAGTGCTTTTTTTACATTATCAGAGACAAACTGACTAATTAAAACAGGACAATACAGACGTAGTGGACCATATTAAACAAATGTGTAGGCTACTGCAAAGACATTTCTACTGATACAAAAACAAGGTTCATCATTGTAATATAAGTTAAATGAAAAAAAAAAGACAAGATTAGTAAATTAGCACAATAAAAGTTTTATTTTATAACATCAGTGTACTACACTGTATATAACAAATTATTAATATTCATGCCAGTGTGGTAAAAATAAACACTTTCCCCCACCTTCCTCAGAAATATTATCATAACAATATTTTTTACACTGATAAAAAGGCAGTCTCAATTACAGTGGAAAAGGAGCTTAGTAATAAACTCAGTGGTCACTGCTTCCAAAAGGGTAAGAGGAGCCTGGGCAGCACTTCAGCTATGAGAACAGATGAAAGCAATGAAATTCTGCTGAGGTCTGAAAAAATGCCATCCAAAAATAAAATGATGATTAACCCTCCCTAAAGTGTGTGAATGAACTGAAATAACTTATCTGACATCTATTTCTATCCTGTTAAAAAATATTGTTGGTTTAACTTAAAAAAATAATAAGTAACCTGGTTGCCTTAAAATTTTAAGTTGAGTGAATACTATGAAGGAGATTTATTTAATCACCAGAAACTCAAAATAATACGTTATCTGAACTAAATAAATTATTTAAGTTGATTTGACAAAAGAAAAAAAAGTTGTGATAACAAATCTTGAAAATATAGGCTGCTTTTTTCAATTCAAAAACACAAGGTTCATTTTAAGTAAACATCTAATCTTTGCGTTTACAGTGCCAATAAAATATATTCACTCTATTTTCCATGTTTTATTGTTGTACAGCACTGAAACTGAATCATGGTGGACTGAATCATTTGGATTTTTGTCATGATCAACAACAAAAGACTTTAATTTTAAAAGGTAAAACAGATCTTCAGTGATTAAAATAACTATAAATACAATAATGGTAAGTATTCATGTTAATGTGACTTTTCAAATCATCACTGGTGCAGCCAAGTGGTTTGTAGCCATATAGCCATTTAACTAGTCAATGTTAAATGCATCTCACTTGTGTGCAATCTCTGATGATTATAAATACCTCTATCTGCAATGTCCAAGTTTTGGTGAGTCAGAACTATGGCTGTAGGACATAAAACCATGAAGAAAAACTAATATTCCAAGCAATTCTGCAAACAAAAAGCAATAGAAAGGCACAAGCCAGGAAATGGATGCAAAAACAGTTCCAAGTTAAATCCATAATTACTGTATGAAATAGACCAGCTTTAGTCACAGCTTTATAGGGGAGTGACAAAGATAAGTCACCGTTGCATATGAGATCTCGTCTACAGTTTGCCAGAAGACGTGGGAGATTCTGTTGTATGATGAGAATAAAATTAAGCTTTCTGACCATCAGACTCAACAGCATGTTTGTTGTAAGCCAAACTACACATGATCAGAAACACACCCTCATGGGGATGCTTCTTTGCAAAATTAATGCAACGACACCTACAAAGGAATCAATTTCCAGCAAAATGGTGACCTCAAGTTTAAAGCTAATGTTCAATATTAACAAATCCAAAGTCCAGATGTCAAACATTTTTTTTTTTAAATTATTTATGGGTTACACTTGATAAAAGCTGATCTACTTAAGATATCCCTCCATTCAGGAATGAATGGGGCAATAATTTTGTGTAACAACTGTAAGATGTTCTGACCAATGGGCAATGTAGACATTTGACATAAAATATTTGTTTTAAAAAAGCCAGTGAGGTTTAATGTTGTAAAACAATACAACACAAACACTTCTGATGGCATGGATCCTTTTTAAAGGCACTGTAGCTAATATTTGGTGAGAGACAATCAACATTATTGTGTTATTGTATAGGTCAAAAAATGCATTGAATGAATTTTCTTTTAACTTCATCCCATCTTTTGGTTTGACATGTTTTTCCTTTTATTGAGACTGGAGATAAATGGCAATTTAAAATCAGCTAGGCCTACTATTAATCTGCTGATTGTGTTGCTATGGCCAGAATGTATTGATAGTCATCAAAAACTTCCTGTATTGGCATGTAATGTATTTTAATGAACAGCACAATATTGTATTTTGAGATGTGTTTTTTGTGATTTAGTGCCCAGGCCTCTGCCCATTATGTGTGTGTGTGCATGAAAAGTTGCAGCAAAACACTGCTTTGGCAGGCAAATATCATTCTCATTGGCATTAAGTTTTATACAGTTCAAAAATGCAGCATGCAGTCAGAGTCCCAACGCCTCACTAGGCACATGGTGCTCACCATTGGTTCCCAGTGTGTGTAAGGACCGGGCACGTCATTCCAAACCCACCCCACTCCAAAAAGTTTCAATACCCAGTGGAGTTGAATACCCTCATAATTTTCTGAAAACTGTGTGTAATCCTCGGAACAGGCACCCTGGGATTCACGCAGCGAGCCAGCTCCATTCGATTACAGAGACCCGCGTCATCTGCCACACTATTACAGCTTTTAGCATCTATTATATCCATCTCTTCAATTTCATGGGAGACTCAAAGAATAATCCTTTCACTGTCTGTGCTCCTCTCTGCTGGGCTGAATGACAGGAAAAATAACTCAAACAGAATGAAGGAGCACAGGACACTGAAATCTCAAAGCATGAAACCAGTGAATGAAAAAAGCATAATCAAGGGTGTTTTATGTTTTATGATGCAGATCAAAGTGTGAGATATTATTAGAAGATATTATTACACCACGTCTAGACCAGACATACGGCGCGCCTAAAGCTAATAGAACCCATTATAATCAGTGATGCTGTCTACACTGGATTTGGCGCGACTCAAAACGGCAGATCTTCGTCAGTAAACTGACCCCCTATTCTTTTGCTGATGCAATCCAACCGCTTGCGCTACTTCTGATATAAAGAACAATCACAGTGGTCGCTTTGTTACGTCCATTGTAGACAGCCTCAAGTCCGATGTAGACAAGGTGTGATTGTTATTAATATTTTCATGCTTCAAAAGTTCAACCAAAGATGAAAATTCTGTCGTCCTTTACTCACACTCATATCATTAAAACCTTATGACATATGACTAATATGAGAAAAGGTGATATGTTAAAGAATGTACTAGCCCATGTTTTCCACATTTAAATTAATGGGAATCCAAGCTAAAAAAAAAAGTCCAGTACAAATTGACCAGTACATCAACATTTCTCATTTTGTGTTACTCAAAGGGAAAAAATGTCATACAGGTTTGAAATTAAATGGTGATAAAATTATGATAGAATTTTGTTGTTATTATTGTTGTGAACTATCTTAAAAAAAATTTTAGATTGTAAAAAAACGATATTAAAATAATGGGGTTTAGAAATACTACAGCCAATAAAATGATCTGTCATCTTTTAAATGTTTATTTTGCCTAAAGCCTATTTCACACTACATAATTGTAAGCCCGATTTGCAAATCGTTGAGCTTGCCGACAGGTCTTGGTGTTATCGCGTCCAAATCGAGTGGGATTAGCGGGCAATGAATGCTCGCCAATCTGTTAGTATGACAGAAAATTATCTAGCATGCTAGATATCCAGAGCTGTCACACGACTCAACCTCATGTGATGTCATGAGTTACAGCCAATCAGACCAAGGCATGAGTTGAGGTCACCGGATAAATCATATTTTTTTCTTCTTTTGCATTTTTTTCTTAGAGCAAATCATCGCACAAACAGTTCGTAGAACTCGTTTCTGTCTGACGTCCATATTCGTGTGTTGTGTTCTTCTTCTTCGCTGGGGATTGGCGCACGTGCTGTTTCGCATCAGTTCGCTTTATCGCATGATTTTTCGTGACAAAACGTTGTTTGTGGACAAGATAGAATCGTTGGGTGACAGAGTTGTTGTCAACTCGTGTAGCGCGTTACCTCCTGTTGTGGATCAACCACGTGGTGTCGTGTGTACTGTGAACAGCTCAACAACTTGAACACTCCTGATTTCACAGAGAGCAAGTCATGTAGTGTGAACCGCACAGTTCAGCCCGACGCTTTAAAATCATGTAGTGTGAACAAGGCTTAAGTCGCAAAACAGTGATGTCATTTACATATCAGTATAACCTAATGAGGCTTTTATCACCATCCACTGGTGACAGGTAATAATGGGATTAGGAGTTTGAGCAGGACACTGATGTAATGTTATTAGTACAAAAGTTCTAATGTCTTTGGTCCCCATGAACATAACTTTTGAAATGATGATTAAACAATAGCAGTGAACTATTATTATTATCAGAGCACTTACAGTGATGAGCATGTGTTTATCCAAATTAGGGAATAAGTAGAGGGATGTGCAATAATGGCTATTGCTTTGAAACACCACTGAAGAACTGTTGCTTGTTTGTGGATTACATTATGACGGAACATTTTCATTGTAAAGGATTGTATAGGCATTAAAAGTCAAATTAATAAAACCACACTCCTGTTGGTGTAGTATTAATCTTAATAGTCTCTCTTCTGAACCCCATTCACAACTGAACATCCCTTGTGTTGGTATGAACATCACCAGAAAGACTAATAACATTACAATAGAACTGATGGGAAATAAGAGGTGAAGGAGCATTAGTCATTATGTTATAAACCCTCTAAAGCAGCCTTTATGCTGATATGCAGTGAGTCACCGCCTGTGGATATAATAACATAATATTAAGAAAGTTCCCCACAGCACTTTCAAATGACCAACCATTAGGTTCTCTCAAAAACAACTAAGGTGTTGTTTTTGAAAGAACCTAATGGTAGGTCATTTGAAAGTAGGCAGTTCAGTTTAGTTTGGGTAGTGGATTAAATGTGAAGGCTTTGAAATATGCATCTGGACTGAAATTAATTGTGGGTATTTTATATTGGGAAAAAATACCAGGGGTCCATGACCTATTATATGAAACACAATGTTGATGTCATGCAAAGAATTCAGTGCATGCTTGTATAATTTCCAAATGACCTGAATGTGTTCATGCTTTCCCAAAATGCAGAACCCCCCTCCCCTCCCCCTTTGTGACTTGCACTTTGTATGTTTGCATAATTGATACGGGAAAAAAACAATTAGTCCCTAGTCCTACCATGCCAGAGCTAAATCCATCCAGCATGCAGATATATCTCTCTAAAACATGTAAAACAGCTCCCCAAAAATTGGGCTAAGTCATTTCTCTCTTATCTATCATAAAATTCCACAAAAGAAATACAAGGCAATAATGATAACGGAATTTGAAACAATGGTGTTTATGAAATGGGTTTCGCATATCAAAAGTGAGTTTAGTTATTGGATTATCTACTTAATCACATCCAAGAAATCATCTAGGCAAACAATTTCACAAACTTCCAATCATTTGAGCAATCAGTGATAGTTGACCTAAAAACGAAAGTTCTGTCATCATTTACTCACCCTGATGTCATTTCAAATCTGTATGACTTTCTTCTGCCATTCTTAAAAAAAGGCCTTGGTGTTTTTTTTCTTGTCCATACACTGAAAGTCTATAGTATGAAATGCAATTGGCATATATATTCAATACACAAAACTAACTTACTGGCAGATGTCTGCTTTCAAATGCTCATGTGGGCCTTGTGAGGAGCGCTTGTGGAAGCGGTTGTGTGCGACTGTCAAGTATGCGGTTAAATGCTTTTGCATTTCAAACTGTTTTTATGACACGGAATTAATGCAAAACACGGTCTGTTATGTCTTAAACAACCAGGACAAAACATCTGATATGTCAAAAATAGATCTGTGTATTTGTGTGAATGCAGTCTATTAGACCTCCTGCAGTCTATGATGTCCTCAGTAATAATCAAACAGCAGTAAAGCTGTGAAAAAGCTGAAAAATCACTGCTCTTGACTGAAAAACATTCAGATACTTAAGCACATCATTTATTTCTTGTAATATGGTTCATTCCTCTTTATTATTTACGATTTGCTTGTATGTTTTAAAGCTATATTTAGTCAGTGGAAGATACAACTGTTTTACTTGCATTTTTATTGTTTTAAAAAGTACTTATTTTATGCAAGTAATTTAATCAAAATGCACACAAAAATTTGAGGTTAAAAGTTGGTTAAACTAATTAATTAAGAAAAAAATGTAGATCGTTTTGGAATCGCATCGGATTGTGAGGTGCCTAAAGATTCCCACCCCTAATTGGAAGTAAATTCATTTTGGATCACTACACATTCTTTGCTTTGAAAGTACCAAGTAGTCACACAGTTTGAAAAAAAAGAAAAAGAGTGTTATTCAAAATATCATCTTTTGTGCTTTGGAGCGACATGTGGGTGAATAAATGATGGCAAAACGTTCCTTTTTGGGGCAAGCCATTCATTTAAATGACTGTAGCTATTAATATCCATTTCACTATAAAGAATGCCCGATGGAGGTATTGACCAAGCCTGATTCTGCGTTACAGCAACCCAAGATCCCACATCTGGGGCACCAAGCCATCACTCAAACAGAAAATGCCCTGAAATATCACCTGGTTAGAAGATTCCGTGTGCAATGTCAGAATAAAATCATCTCCGCATGCAACCGATTCCATACGTTTACAAGCAACTACTATCCATAGAGAAAAGTTCATTGGCAGGCCAGATTCCAGCTGGACATGCAAGTATATATTTACAACAGCAAGGATCCTTCCCCTAATCATCAGTATTCACCTTTCCTTCCTGAGTGAGAGGAAGGAAACGATAAATAAAAACAGCATATCAATATCTAAATATATTTCTCCTATTCAAAGGGGTCCATCGTCCCCCTCTGTCTCTGGAGTGACAGGCTGAGAAAGGGCAAAGATGTCCTGGCACTGATGTGTAGTTTTTGGCGAGGAGGTCTGAGGAGTTGGGGAAGGTTTTCTCTTCTCTGACAAAAGTCTCAAAATCTCCCCCACCTGGTCCTCCAGAGCTGCTAGCCGGCTATTTAACGTCTGTATGTCTCCTTTTAGTTCCAGCTTTGCCTCATACAGGCTGTTTTGAAGCACTGCCTGTTCAGAGACAGGCTGAAATTGAATCCCCCGTAGGGTCACGTCACCCACCCCGGGACTAGGCTGATCATATGGGCTCCTTTCTATCGAGGCCCTGTCGTACGGGCTCCGTAAATCCCCTACCCGGTCAATACGCAAGTCACTCTTTGTTATTCCACTGTCGCAAGAATCAGTCTTGTGTAGGGCAGTATTCTCATCAGTCTCATCACTACTGTTACCGTTTCCACCCGTACCCCTTTCGTTAGATCCCCCATCCTCTGCTTCCTTGTTCTTCCCATTGTCTGAGATCACATTCAGGGGCTGGGACACATCCCCCCACTCCTCTTCCTTCTGCGGTGGCTGCTTCTCTAGTTCCAGCGGAAGCATGGGAGATGATCCTGATGCAATGTTATGGAAACGCATCCAGCCTCGTCCCCTTCCTCCTCTGGGTCTCACAGGACTTGTTACTTTTAGACAATTCGAGTCCTCTATGCCAAAGCTGGGCTTGAGCTCCATAGCCTCATGGCCTTCGCTGTTGGGTTCCTCGGTCTGAACGTAGGCTAGGGCATTCTGGATCGGGGTTATCTGCGAGACTGTTACAACGCTAGAACCACCGTTCCCGTTTCCTGAGCCAGGGGTCCCGTTTTGCATGGTGGTCACATGTTGGTGTTGAAGTGGATGGTGGCCCTGGTACTGGGGCTGATATTGCTGCTGATGAAGCTGGTGGGACAGTGGGTGGAGGTGATGTTCCACCTGAAATTGGTTCCTCCCCAGGTCATGCTGGGATGAACCTTGCGTACGCATCTCCTTCTGCTGCTTAAACTTTTGGAAAAGTTTGCGGACAGGATGGTCCACGGGGATAGACAGGGTCACCTCGTTTTTCTGGTGTCTCCTCTCCTCTTCCTCTTTCTTCACATCGATAATCTTGCGAAAAACAATCTGTGGAGACACAATGATATCTGTAAAAGAAATCTGTATGATTGGAATCCTTGTCGGCACTGAATGAATTAAATAAAGACTTGATTCAAGCTCTAAAGAGGCTTATTAAATGATTAAATTGTTATTAAATTACGTTGCCACGCTGAAAAGACAGTAACACGCAGCAAAACTTCCCCCTGCTTATCGGAAACTGTTGTTGGACCGATTGGACAGGCCTTACAACGCTTTACACAATAATGACATCAAAATTTTCTTTTGGGGTAATTTCTCAGCCAAATTTGTGATTAATTAGATTATATATATATATATATATATATATATATATATATATATATATATATATATATATATATATATATATATATATAGTGTACGTATATAAACTTTTTACTGAATGAACCAATCACTGGAATTTTGGAATGGGGGCTATTCTGTTGTGCAGCTGGGTTTCGTTTCAACGAGAGCCTTTAATGATTTACATATCAGTATAAAAGATGTAGTAATGCTCTCAAGCTTTCAACAATAGGGTCAAGTGCCATTGGCATGCTGTTGTTTTAGTATTTAAACCACCAATAGCTCAATGCTGCCACAGATTTCTACACTGTTTCAGAGCTTTCACCCAGCAGTAACATGGCATCTCGCAGGAACAGACCGCCAGCATCTCTTGCTTCCCTCCTCATCACCTCTCTTTCAGCTGTGTGCATACTCATGGCACTAGCTTTGATCGCGTACATTTTAATTAGAGAGTACTAATTAGCCTCCCAAGCCCCCTAGCTGAGGACCCTAGGGAGGTCTGTACAGCCCCACCTCACCTGACATACTGAGGAGGTCATGTGGCCACACGACTTGTTAGTTTTAATGGGATTTCATCACAGAACAGCCTGGAATAACACATTTTGTTTTTGTGTGAAACTCTACAGTTGTAGAGAGGTCTAATCTTTATATCACTTACACATTATAGTAAAAAAAAAAAAACTCTAATTACTCCAAAACTTACTACGTTCTTTTTTATCACTATCACTGTCGTGTGCGATAACATAACAGCGACCGTGCTGACTTAAAAAAAAAAAAATCCTCAGGGGCAAACATTGGTCTGTAGAGTTAAAAATAGAACAGAGCGTGTCACGTGCCCTTTAGTTATCCCTGTGCAGTCTTTCGGCACCCTGAAGTGCTGCGGCGCATGTCACTTCTCATCTCCCAGGAGGACTCTGGTAAATAATGAATCCAGCCCCCTTCTGCCTCTTCATATTATTTAAATGTCGCTTAGTACGAGCAGAACGAGATGGGAGTGATGGAGTAAACTAGAAAAAAAAAAGTGATATCGCTGTGTAGCCAAATACAAAATAAGCGCTAGGGTGCAGAATGAGAATGCTACAACAGAAACAGAGGTGTGTGCAAAGATGGACGCTAAATATGTTTTGTTGGAAACAAAAATCATCACATAACTGCTATTAACAGTTGTGACATCTAATTTGCATTCTGAAGTTAACAAACAGTCACTATTCAGAAATTCAAATTTGGGATGCACTGATATTAAAAGTTTGGCCAATACTGAAAAGTCATTAATTATTATTTTTTTCTTATGTCATAACTGCTTGTCCAATTATGGTCATTATTAAAATTCAATGCTATTTTGTCGAAGTAAATATAAAATTCAAAAAGTAGCAAAAATATTATTAGATACAGAATGAAAAATAGATATTCATTTTGAGATTTGCTAAAGATTACATTTAACAGTGTTTTTATAAACGAGTGTTTTTAAAGATCAACTTTAAATGCGTAGATGACAACAAAAGTAATCTAAAAAAAGGGAAAATGAGCGCGAACAATTAAATATTCATTATAAACTGATACCAGTCAATTAAAACAGAGTATATAATATTGCCATTAACCGGTATGATACTGATAATGCATGTCAAGTTTAAAACGGCCATATGTGTATCTGAGAAAACTTTTAAAACAACCCACCTAGGGTTGATTAGCTGCTTAATAAAACTAAATTACCCCTGTCCACCATTTAATATCATCACATACATAATATAAAAGATGCAATGAAAGTGATGTGTATGATATATGAATGTGATGTGATGTGATGTGCACATGAAAAGAAGAAAGAAGAAAAAACAACCTGTGAATTATGTGGAGTGCCATTATGCTAGAATATAAAGAATTTACTCTTTGGCCTCGGCTATGCATGCTGCTTAATTATTCCCTTTGTGCAGCTTATTGGATAATGACAATTATTACAACGCTCAAGCTATCTGCTGAATAAAAGCAGAGACAGAAAGAAAGAAAAAAAACACGTGTCAACAGCCTGCATCTGTTCTGCAGAGGGAAACTGATTAGGGATTTATAATGATCTCTTAGCATCCATGGGGAATTTAAATGAAGAATCCAATATTTCATTTACACTCTATGGAGCCAGAGTTATTATTCTAACATTCTTCACCTGTGTAAAGTGACTTTTTTTCTCTTCCAACAAAGACGGATTGCATAATTGGAATAATTACACAAGCATGCCAGGCCAATCTTGTTTTATTTAACACAGCTGTGAGTTCATTTCTGGACAGAAACTCAAACTAATGAGCTGTAGTAGTATTAATGTAGTGTTGCTGCATGTCTGAACACCAAAAACTCTCCAGCCTGCAATTCAAGGGAACTGTCACAGTAAGAGTATCAGGGACAAATCTACACAGCATTTCTTCTAGATTTCCGGAGATAACCTGCAGGCCCACACAGCAACAGCAGCTAAACCAATGGCGTAAGTCTGGGGGCGGGGGTATCTGTTTGGCCAACCAATGGCAGATGAATTTGTCTGCAATTCAAACTTGTAAAACAGGGAACCTAAGAAAATAGATTTATTGTGTTGTGTCAATACATTGGAAATTAATGGGGTCCTACTGTCTGTTGTTTTATGGGCTTCAAAATCTCATCCACTCCCATTATAAAGCATTTCTTAATATATCTCCAATTGTGTTTAGCTGAAAGATAAAATCATATTCACCTAGGATGGCTTGAGGGTGAGTAAATCATTGGGTAATTTTAATTTTTGGGTGAACTAACCCCTGAAGTAAGATGAAGCAATGTGCTTGCTTCATCTTACTTCACTTGATTTTAAAGTGTCTCTATTTTTTTATTTATTTTTTTTATTATTATTAACTTTCATGCAGTGCAATAGCTTATTGTAAATGTAAAAAGTCTGCAGAGTTTTAGAGATCTAATTGCATGACAAATAAAGTTATTGTCACTTAAAAAAAAAAAATCGAACTGCCAAAACAGTATGCCTGTGTGCACATGTACTGTAAGTGTAATTTATATTTCATATGTAGCTAAATTATCCTTTACTGATTTGGTGTTTATCATTCTATATTGAGACAGCTATGGACAATTAATAATAATAATTAAAAAAAAAAAGTCAAATGCACAGCATGACTGTTGACACTTCTTTTGCTGGAGATTATTAACATATTTCCCCTGGTTCTGGTTTGCATTGTGACACGGTTTGAAAAGGTCATGCGTCATATTATACCAAGGTGCAGAGATCCTTTTTTTGTATATTACATGATAATCAACTCACAGGATTTATTTCTGTGCATGGTTTGAAATTATTCAAATTACTCACATAAGCCCTGCTGAGGTGTAGTAACAGCAGCTGTTGAAAGCCTTCCAGTCTCTGTGATCTTTCATGCACCTGTTCTAGCTTTAGTTTTGTTAAAACTGTGGGAAATCCACCTATTAGATAAATCAAGTACCTGTGGACTGGAATGCCAGTCTGGCAAGTGGTTTAAAGCTGAACCTAATCTGATCACAGCTCTACTATACCATGACCAAAATGCAACTATATAATTGCTTGCTTATTCTGATTTTCATTTAGTCAAAACTTCTAAACAGTTCCAGTGAAATGTGAATACGGCAAAAACAGAAAAGGGCCACTTACAGTGACTTAAACTAAACAAGATAAAAAAAAAAAATAAAAAAAAAACATCCCTCAATACTCCTGATTATAGCTGAGTTTCCACCGAAATTACCCAAAACAATTTTTCCCAGGAACTTTTTTTTCTCCCAGACCAGTCTGCGTTTCCATTGCGGTCTAAAGTACCGTGAAGATTAGGCAAATTAGTGTAGTGTGCTAATTTGTAATACATTTGTAATAAAACTGTGAACCAATCAGCATGTTCAGTGCCCAAGTCCCACCCCCGATTTTTTCCTGGACTTTAAAAGTACTACCTTGTGAGCAGGGAAACATACAGAGTACCACCCCAAGGTCCCTATAGTTCCTGGGGAAAGTTCCTGCGGTGGAAACGTGGCTTATGAAAAAAAAGATGATATACAGAAAAAGTCTAATAACCAAAAGATGCATTTGGGATTGTTTGAGCTTACAGTGTAGAAATCTGTCTACCTGCAGAAGTATCCTCCAAGTTCAAGTAAACACAAATTAAGTATTAGGCTCACTCGAAATGACAGGAATGTGTGTTAGAGCAGGGCTGGAACTAAATTTTGAAAGATGACAGCACTTCGGCTTACTACAAAAAGTCTATGATTGCATATGATTGCTTATCTGAAAATAAGCCATAGGATGTAAATAAATAAAGGGGCAAATAAACCAAAAAAAAACAAACCCGCAAGGGTACTTTTTATTGTTGTCAGTGCTATAGTAGTTATGTTTGGGTGTGAAACTATAGTGACAATCACTGTAGGACGTTTGAAATGTTAAGAAAATATGCTCATAAGTTTTGAAAGACTCAGATGATTTTCTGCAGTGCAAAGGGGTGTAACGGCAAAAGGGAATTGAAGCAAAAGAGCACTGAGACTTCCAACACAGCAAAATCCAACATTGTAGATTAATGGGATCTGGCAAGCCTTTATCCTTCTTTCGCAGCCCCCCTCCCATTCAACACTCCTCCGCTTTGCTACTTTAAGTCTAGCGGGATGCTGAAGATCTGCCAAAGATTGGGTCCACACCACCCCCATTCCCAATGCTGAGGCATCACCAGCCCGGG